TCACATACAGAAAGTATGGATATTAAACATGTTGGATTAGTGATCTTACTGCAAGAAGACAATTTGTCCACATAGGTAACAGATGAAAAAAAATCTATTAAAAATGAATCTTATTTTTGCTGGTCTGCTTTTAATTTATTTTTTACACTGTGTGCATTTTTGAATATATTCTTTCTCTCTCCCCTACTAATCACTTCTTGTAACAAAAATTAAGGAAAAAAAGGCAATTCAGCAAAACCAACCAATATACCAACTTTATCTGACTATATATAATATTCCATACCCATAGTCCCCCTTATATCACTAAGATTTAGTGGAATAGGTCTCATGACTGAGAATATAACTCTGAAAGGGTATGACTTATTAACAAAGAAAAGACTAGATAAAAGGGGTAGTGGAGTAGCACTGCATATTAAAAATTATACTCACATGAGGAAATTCAGGAATGAGAGGGAAACATGATGGAAAACAATATTTTTGTAAAAGAATATACAATATCACTTGGACATGAAGAAATGGATGAATTCAGAAACCACATCATAAAGCTTGGCATAGAAAATGACAGAGTAATAAGGGACTTCAATTTTCTCTGTGTCTTCTGGATCTTTTTCTATATCAAAAGCAGGGCATCTATTCAACTCTTGGTTTATCTTAATAATAATTTCATCCTTCTAAATGTGTAGGAAACAGAAAGGGGAATTGGGGGCTAAATTTGAAATGATGGAGGCAAAATAACCCTTTAAATTCATGATAGAGGAGAAAAGGAAAGCAGAGTATATTCTGATATGCACTCTGGATTTTGGGAAAGCAAAACTGAATAGACTCGGAGAAAGAATGAAGATCTCTTGAATTTAAATTCTCTAAAGGAAGTCAGCACAGGAGGGACTAGAAATGCTCCAGAATAATGTTCTTTAGATGTAGGGAAACGCAGTTCCAGTAAAGAACTGATAAAGAAACAGTTTGAAAGAATTTGATATGAATGTAGAGATGAACTTAGATTTAAAAGACACATTGGGCAGATAATGGAGGCTGAATGCAAAGGGCTTACATGTTTGCTTAAGGATCTTATAATAAGCTGAGATTGGTGATAAATGTTAAGGATAACAAAAAAAAAAAAAAAAAGGCCTGATTGTCTGTATTAGAAAAAAGAGAGTAGAGGGTGAGAACTGCTAGGGGTGGAGGGGCCCATGATCAAGAACAACAGCCTATAAACAGAACTGTATTCAATTTTGTTTTTGTTTTCTCAGTAAGGGAATATGACCATTAGACTAGAAAGGACAGAATAAAAATGTTTATTCGAGAGTACAAATCCACACTAAGGAAGTAAGTAGTAAGAGAGCAACTCTGTGGCCTGGACACGTTCAAATGACTTGGCTTGATTGAACTATACCCCGTGGTACTAAAAAACTGCTTGCATTTGTGGTCCCAGCACTTAGCACTGTGCCTGGCACATTATAAGCGCTCAATAAATGCTTGTTGCCTGACTGATGGGTGTGACTGATGAAGCACCATCAGTGATTTTTGGAAAGAAACAAAATGACGGAGATGCCTTAAGACTTGAGAAGGGCAAATGTTTATCTGGTGGTTGAACAACGGAAGACTGGAATGTTATGGTGCTTGTTGCCAAAACCAGGGAGCTGATTTGAGTCTGGGCAAAATTCATGAAGATACTAATAAAGATGGTTTGTGAACGTCTAGAAAGGGAAAATGGTGCTAAGAGTCTGCAGTTTCATTTAAAAGTGATCATTTCAGCCTAACCTCATTTCTGTTTCTGACATGTTTCTCAGACTGGTAGATCACGGGAAGACCGTGGATACAGTTTACCTACATTTCAGCAAAGGGCATGACAAACCCTCTCACGTTATTCTTTTGGACAAAATGGAGACAAATGGATTGGAAGCAGCATTAGATGGATTCAGAACTGGATGAATGGCAGGACCAAAGAAATATTATGACATCAACTTCGAAGAAAGTGTCTTAGTAGATTGCTTTGGGGAATTTGTCCTTATTCCTGCACCGTTGACCATTTTTAATCAATGACATGGAAGGGATGGAGGCAGACAAAGATGGCTCATCAAATCTGCGGATGACATAATCCTGCGAGGTATAGACGTATGATAGTTAGGATTCAAAAAGACGTTGACAAGCTAGAATAGTGGGCCAAATTTAACAAGATAAAATGTAATACAGATAAATGCAGACTTGTGCTAAAAAATTAACTTCACAGCCACTCGTAAAGATTGTCTACTAAGCCAAAGAGGCGTGGTACTCTGTAGTAGAGGAGAAGTAACCAATGAAATCACAGTTCTTTAGATACTGACTTAAACACACATCTTCAGGAATTCACAATCAGAAAAAAAATAATTCAACATCAGAACTGTACTATTTCAGGTGACACATGTATATGACAACATTACTTCAAGCCATTTAAGGAATAGGCCTAGACTAAAATGCCATCTTTCTGTGTTTGACTTAGATTTTTTCTGGACCTACAGCTTCAACGTTGTACAAAAGCTCTCACTGGGAGACTCAGATTATGATAGGAATCCAATGTGGTTTTTGCTATTAAGGTTCAAAATTTTTCACAAGACACCACAAACAGGGGACATGGGCATTAATTAGTCATGATGCCCCAAAGAATTTGGAATAGTCATAGAAAGTCAGGTAAGAGGTTCATCAATATTCTCTGCTGTAACATATTCAGTATTGGAGTTAATGAATCTCAGGGTTAGGCATCTCTTGGGGTAAATGTTAAAGAAATTCTAGAAATTTAAATTTTCCCAAGGGTTCTCTTGCCTAAATAAACTATAGCTTAGGCTACAACTGTTAATTTGTGCTGAGCATCAGAGTGGGGCAGTGTAATGAGAAGAGGGCTTGGAGTCAAGAGGGCCTGGGTTCAAATTCCAGCTTTACTACATGTGTGACCTCAGGTAAATAACTCTCTGGTCTCAGTTTTCTCATCACTTAAATGAGGCCACTGGACAAGAAGACCTAGAAGTAGATCCCTTCTAGGCCCAAATCCATGATCTTATAATTTTTGGAAAAATCTATACATTCTGATTTGATCCTGATACCAAAAAATGGTTAGATTTAGTTTCACTGGGAAAGAGGTCAGAAACAGACAAGTTTACCATTTGGAAAGGCTACAATGCAATCTCTTTGTCTTTTTAGTTGGTTTCTCTTGCAGAATTGTGGGTTGTTACTACAGAGCAGGAAAAGACAAACCCAAATCTACAAGGACTAATAAAAAGGGCTCTTGGAAGAACAACAGCATCAGTTATGTCTAATTTATATAAAAATAAATAACAATAGCACATTTTTCTTACAAACATATAAATTATTTTATTTACAAAGCCATGTTACAAAAAAAAAGCCAAAAAATCCCCCCAAAAAACGAAACCCCAAAACAAAAAATACAATCCCTCACTAGAGAATATCTCCAGGCCCGGTGATGAACCATGGCAGTATCAATCCGATACATGTTTGTTCTGTTTTTCTTTCTTTTTTTTTTTTTAAAACTGTAAGCCATAGAATTTACTATTTACACCTACTTTAGACATTTATTCTGCTTACAATTATCACAAGCATGGAATGAATTCTATCTGATAGTGCTAATACGTAAAGGTGCAGGACAAAGAATGGAAATACTTAGTGTTACAAAATATGGATCATAGAAAAGAAATCCACTCTACAAGTATGGCATATAATTTTTCTTTTAGAATGATTGGACATGCTTTCTTCAAAAGTCTTCTGGAAAAGGTTCTAAAATCTGTAGTAGGAAAGCACAATAGAGCAGGTGCAAATTCTTTTCTGTGCAACAACAGTATTTAATATACCCCATGACTGACCAGCTATGCAAAACCCACAGAGTTTTGTTAAAGTGCCATGGGTCGACAGCATAACAAAATATAAGGTGTAAATAGAAAAATTTCTTTTTTTTTCCTTTTTTTAAAACAATAGTTCACTGAGAATCAGCAATAATAGAATATGCTGTATAAACTATTCTCTACAAAGGTTGATCAGCATTATTTACAATTGGTACATTGATACAAAAGAAGGCATACAAGTTATCCAAGTCGCTTTTTTTTCCAAAATTTTTTTTTTTTTTTTTTTATGGCTGACAGGTCTATGCATTGCGTATGTGGAACAACCAAAGCTTCGGAGCCTCTATTGCTGGAGACAAATCACAAGATCTTCAGGCAAATGGAGATGGAGGTGACTGGGGCGCGCAGTGACGGGACAGGCTGAAGAAAGTCGATGAGTGTTGGTGGAAAAATAATGGTTGAATGGATGCTACACTGATAATGCTTTACAGACTGGTCCAGTTTAACGCCATTAAGAACCCAAAAGAAAATGTTTTCTTTCCATTTCTTTTTTTCAGACTGAGCATTTTAACATATTAGGAAGTAAACCACTGATTTGTTGTGAAGGAAGAAATACCCCAGGTTTTCAGGATGCTCAGTTTTCCAGAAATGCCATCACTTAGTTCAGAGCCAGTTGACGAATGTAAGCAGCATTGGATGGAGAGTCTCAACATTCCAGCTTCCCAATGAAAAGATGTGTGGAAAGAGCTAAAGATGCGGTCAAACTCCTGGTAATTAATTGCTCCTTTAGTCACCGTCAAGACTTTCTTTCTCAGAAGCAGCCACTGAATCTCACAACCTTTGCTTCCCCTCCAGAAGTAGCAACAGTCCATTAATCACAGAGGGTTATTTTGTTGTTGAGATTTAAAAAAACAAAAACAAAAACAAAAACTCCTGCAGGTTTTACAACTTAAAATAAATTATGAAAAACAAAACAAAACAAAACAGACTTTCTGCTCCTAAAACTGAACAAGACAAAAAAAATTGTGCAAAAATAACAAAGATATGTACACACTTTTCAGTCTGAAGAAATGTACAATAAAAACATAATTCAAAGAACATTTTAAAAATATAAACATTGCTTAAACTTTCCTAAGTTTCATATTGTTTCTGAAACTATTCTGGTCAGTTAGCTCTGCAATATAGTAAAACATAAATTATTACAAAATTAACACTATAAAAATTTACTTTAAGAATATTTTCTAAACTTTTTTTTCAAAGGGTCTAGCCTTGTTTATTATAATTGCTTAAACATTTATAAGTCTTAAAATCTGTCTTAAGCCTTTTTTTAAAAAAAGAAAAAAGTAACAATCTCCCTTCTATTTGCAGTCTCTTCTTTTTCTCCAAGACATAATTAAACCAGCATATAAGTGCACTTTTAACACTGTAGAAATAAAAATGAAATCCTCTGTACTAATGTCCTGGTACCTATTATCAACTCCTGATTAAAAAAATCTTTATTTTATATATAAAAAATTTAGTAATCCTATAAGAAACACTGTCAGTGCAATTCCATTGATGCAAACTAGACGGTTTGCCTCGTATCTTTGCAAATTCCAGTTGTGTGATAAAGCCCAACAGTAGTAGTATCATGGGGTGGGGGGGATGGGAAGGTAAAGGAAGAATTCAGGGGACATGTCTGTGCCCAGCTGCGGCTGTCATTAATATCTAATTTGGTAACAAACACTTCATAGCATTTCTACTCCTTAACTCCCTAAATTAGTCTAATATTAAAGAAATGAGTAAACATTATTTTATTAACTAAATTTATTATCAATACCAAGAAATCCTAATTCAAGACCCTGAATTTCTTCCTGGCACTGTGATTGCCCCCTGGCTCCTAGGGTCACTTCCTATTCCACTTGACCTTACATCTACTGACTATCCTCCGTAATTCCAGCCAGCACATTCTCATGAGCTTAACCTTTCCACTCCTCTAACGTGATGGCTCTCTTCCTACACAGTGGGACGCTATTATTACATTGGCCCAGGGGGTACAGGAATAGCCTGGCCACATTAAGGCTGGTGAATGTTGAGCTTTGGAAGAGTGTCAAGCAACGTCTGGACACTTGGGGGTAAGCAAGATGGGCATATTTGGTAGCTCTGTGATGCCTCCTGTGGTCTCCCCTGTGGCCTGTGGGTTCACGGATGTATGCCAGAATGGGAGTTAGCTAGGAAATGCTTGTGTTTGTCCATACAGGGTGCTGAAGTGGTACTGACCCCTCCTTCTCAGGTGCCTTCACTAGGGAGACACCTTTTTCCTCCTTGTGGTTAGTTTTTTTTTCTTTTTTTCACCTGATGCAGGTGAGGGATACAGTGGAAAACTCATGAAAACTTTAGCAGCATGCAGGAGCCCTGCCCCTTCCTGAAGTTGCTTCCGTGTCTCTCCCAATTGGGTTCCTTTCACTTTTGGTTCCTGTAACTTTGGGTTCTTGCATATCGGACACTAAGTATGGGCGTTTCCAGAGTGGAAGGCAGAGGAAGAGATGGGCTCCTAGAAAATTTCATAATTATCATAGTCTACTTTGTAGGGGCAAGCTGTGGCTCAGGCATCTTGGAGAGTTTATTCCTCAATTTGTAGGAATGTGGGATGTGATGTGTCATCCCCTTAATGGTACCTGCTTTGCTGTCTCAGATCATTTGTCCCCAACCTCCCTCAATACTTAACTCCCTTCTCCTTTTACTCTGAGAGAAACCCTTTGTTATACCTTCCAAAGCTATTCTTTCCCAACCTCACACCTAGATAATGACGTTGGGCAAATCACCACATTGGTCGCAACTCTCCTGAAACATTGGTGTGGCTGATATGGGAATACCTCGTTTTGCCCTCAGCATTTGGCTCATGCCCCAGTGGGCAGCTTAAACCCTGATTAAGAAGAGTTTCACACAACCTCTCATTCCTACCTGCTCCCTGTGCACTGGGTCTATGGCCCAGGCCCCCTCACAAACAGAGTGTCCCCCATCATTTGCTGTATTACAGGAGCATGTTGAGACCCAGCTCCCTCCTAAGTGACAAGGTTGGACACAGAGTAATGGGAGGTGTGAGGGAATGAGGAGGAAAACAAAAACAAAAACAGAAAAAGGAAGTAGTGTATGTGTGAGAGCTTCAAGAGTTAAGGAAGATGCCAACCAGGAACCGAGGTTCTGGAATGTCTACTCTGAATTATTTTAACAAACTGATGGTGCGGTGCAACATCAGAAGCTAGAGAAGGAGTAAAGCAAATTCAACAAAAACAACTACAACCATGATTCCAGCTTTCGGTAAATATAAATTTCACTTTGTCTTCTTTCATCTCTTTCTTAGACCTTAAATTGATTTTAAAAAGGAGGGGCTGAGATACCTAGAGGGCACAGGAAGTCACCTGTCCTCCCATCACTTCCCGCCCCACCCCTCCCAACCCCCTAACACCTGTGGTGGGATAGGGTGGCTGGGAATTGGACATCAAAGGGTGCTTTCTTTCCTCGTTATGGAAGAGTCCGTATTCTGCCTGTTCGGTTTGCAGTCTTCTAGGAAAAAAAAAAGAATAGCAAAGCCTGTTTCAAAACTGTAATAATTATAACAACCACTGCAACAAATAATAACAACAGTAATCACAACAAACAACGAGAATGAGAACTTTTTTATATGCACTTACAGGTTTTACAAAGTGCTTTGCTCATAACACCATGAGACAAGTAGTGCGTGTACATTACAGTTTGAGGTTCCTTTCCCTGAGGGTGGCAAAGTCAATTTAACACGGTCCTATTCCAGGTCAGACTACTGGATGGAAAGTCGTTTCCAAAGGGTGCCAGCCTTAAGTAGAGTACCTCTAGGATGGCAGATTCCAGAGCTTTCCCAACGAACTGAGTTTGAATGAATGAAAGTGCTTACTGCAGGGGTGGGGAACCTGCAGCCTCAAGGCCACATGTATTGGTCAGTTTTGCTAAACTGTGTTTTTTTCTCTTTTTTATTCTTTGTTGCAGGGGATGGGTTGTCTAAAGAAGGGAGGAGAGATGTATTTGGAAATGGAGGTGATTCAAAAACAAAAGATCAATACAATTTTAAAGACATACTGGGATGTGAAAAAATCAAAGCTGAATCACCTAACACAATCATCTTTCTTTTTTTATATTAAAGAATAAGCATTTTGAGGATCCCATGGCCCTAAGAATAGAGGCAGTTTGGCATAGTGAACAGGCCTTTGGAGGCAGGAGGGCCTAGAATAAGATCACACTCCTGATACTTACTAGTTGTGTGACTCTGGTTAAATCTTAAATTCACTGGGCCTTACCTCAGACAACTCCCTAAGACTTATCTATTAATTCATAGCTGGGCTGATAGGGTGAGTTCTCACACCAGTGGTTTGCTACTGTGATGAAATCACAGATCCTTTGCATATACTCCTCCAGTTTATATATTTTGTGGGTGTTCAGAAAATATTTGCAGACAGAGTCAGACAGGAGGGGCCAGGAGAAAGCCTGGAACATGATCGAGATGTTTCTCCTCTATTCTCATTCCTTTGCCCAAGAATAAATAACTCATCCTTTGAACTTTGCCAGCCTCAGACTCCAAAAACGCTCCCTGGTTCTGATAAGGACTCTTGTGTGTACTGGGCACTTTCCTAACATGACACTAACTTTCCTGAAACTACATCCCATGGGAAACTTTTGAGGAAGCATTAAAGTGCTCCGACCGAAGCCACTCACCTGTCGGTTGTGTGCCAGGCTGGGTGTGCTTGAAGGACTGGATTGTGACAAAGCTACACTGCTATTTTTTCCAACCTGAAAGATACCAATAAAGCAATATTCAGATACACAGCCTGGCTTGGGGAAGAAGATGGAGTGTGAAGAACTCGGTGGAAGGAAGAAGGGTGCTCAGCACGACTGTTCTTGCCTTAGAAAAAAGGTAATGACAGTGCCGTGGAATGGACCCTTGATGATCTAATCCCACCCCTGAAAGAGCAACTCCAGAACAGGGAGGGGAATTCTAAGTTGCCTCAGACACAGATGCAAATTATAGGTCCTGGATGGTGGTGGTTTGGTTAGGGGACCTTATAATCACCTGACTCAGTCACGTCTTCCATCCGTGAATGAGCTGAGGATCAGTCTAGCATCAAACACAGACCCTCCCCACACTCGTCCTTATCTCCAACAAAGGCTGCCTTTTTACCTAGGGGGACATAGACCTGATGTAAAACCTTCCCCTTAGGCTCACCTTGTGGCTCAATGTGCCAGGGCAGGAGAGGGAAGAAATGCTCCATAGTTATCAGAGACAAAAGAACAGTGCTACACTTTTGTTTCCTCCAGTGTAAAAAGGGGATAATAATTGTACCTACCTCCTAGGACTATTCTAAGGATCATACTAGGCAATATTTGTAAAGCCCTGGCAAATCCTCCCTCCCTCCCTCCCTCCCTTTCTTCCTTCTTAACATGCTGCCATGATCAAGCCAAAGGCAAAATTACACAAATAAAAAAATTCTTCATGGAATAAATTTAGTTATGATTCTCAACCTAGTTATTTCAAATCAACTTTTATGCTAGGATGGGAAGGGGAATGAAAAGAAAAATGAAACTTACTGGCTGTGTGACTCTGGGCAAGTCACTTAACCCCAATTGCTTTGCAAAAAAAAAAAAAAAAGAAAAATGAAGACAAGGTTCCTACTCTTGATCCTTAGAATTGCCTAGGATAACATTAACTATCAAACCCTAAAACAGGCCCTGAATAAAACAGCCAAAGTCTGTGTAGGTAATTCAGCTCAATGGAAGCTGAAGGTGGCTGAGAATTATAGAGGTGGGCATACCCAGTCTTGTTATTTAGAATATCAGCGACCTCAGCTATTGGTGCTATGTAGCCCTGACAACATCTGTTCTCTTCTTAATTTCCCTTTTCTGGCTCTGGCTTACAGTTATCATGTTTCCCTTTGGACTCTTTCCCTTATGTCCTTTTGTGATTTCTGTAAGATTGAAAATGCCTGGTATTTTCACCTCATCAGGCTTCTTCTCATCCCTCTGATGGGACCCTCTGCCTGGTCAAGGAGGACAGGACTGTGGGCTCCTAAGCTTCTACTTAAAGAAGGACCTCAGCACAATCTTCATTTTCCACCAACCATGCTGCTTTTGGACTTCTTTGTCCAAATCATGCCTTTGCACCAGGTACTGTCTGTAGATGAGACTCTCACTGGTTAAGCCCTCCTCCTTTAAGCTTCTTTTTGTGTGCTGTCTTCTCCTATTAGATTGTAAGTTTCTTGAGGGTAGGGACTATCATTATTTTTATTTGTATTTGTATTCCAAGTGCTTAAGACAGTCTCTGGAACAGAGTAGGCACTTAATAAATGTTTACTGACTAACACTCTTTTACATTTTGTCTTGTTGGCTCTATCTCAGCATCCCCTTAACATGTTTTGATGAGTCTCATAAACTTCAACAGATACAATCAAAATGCAGAAGAATCTTTTTAACCACTTAATGTCCATCCTTATCCCCAAACCTGTCTAAGTGCTCATACCAAGTTATTCCATGCCAGGGTAGGTCATGGACATTGTTCTGTGCCCATGCTGTTCTGCTGATACAAATTGTGGCCTTGTGCAATAGGACAAGAGACAGACAGATATCCTTCACTGGTGAGAGATCCTACAATATAAAGATCTTTCCACTGTGACCTAGATGAAGTTCCTACCCATGCCTACTGGTATCACAACTTCCAAGCCCCTCATCCTGGTCATTCCTTTCAATTCTCCTTAACCGGTTACAACGCTAACCCTAATTCCAAGCTATTATGTACACAGAGCCACTAGATGGTGCAGTGGATAAAGTATGGCACTTGGAGTCAAGAAGATCTGAGTTCAAATTCAGCCTCTGAAGCTTACTACCTATGTGACCCAAGGCAAGTCACTTAACCTCTGTCTGCCACAGTTTCCTCAACTGGAAAATGGGGGGTAATAATAGCACCCATGTGTCTCAATTTTCACATAGTAAAATAGAGCACCTACTTCACAGAGTTGTTGTGAGGACTGAATGAATTAAGATATGTAAAGCAACTTGCAAACCTTTAAGTGCCATATGAATGCTATCATCATCATCATCATCACAAATCCATTTCCCTAAGAGTACAATTATTATTATTATTGTTGTTGTTATAGCACATCCATTTCCCCATGAGTACAACTGATTTCTTCGGTACATAGGTGGGATACAAGTACATTTTCCCTGCCTGAGGGGAGAGAAAATGAAGAGGTCTCTCTAGCTCAGCTATGTAATAAGCCTGGGGAACAGGGAAAAGAAACATGGCATCATGACCAATTTCTATTTGACTGACCCATTTCATAATTTCTTTCCTGGTTAGTTTATATTTCAGAGTTTAATTTGCCCAAGCAAGTGTTGAGAACCCCAGTCACTGGTAACCAAGCAAATTAGTAACGGCATAGGTTGGAGATTTAAAAAAAATTTTTTTAATCAAACTAAACTAGAGACCTAACCACCTTCAGAATCACACTACTCCTCTTCATTCAGCTACAATGGGGCCACTCCCTTCAGTTTTCTGTGTCAACCCAATGTTGGGCTTTATTGCACAGAAGATAAAGAGCTGTCTGGCCATATACCCTGTCCTTCAGCCTCTGTAGTGTGTAGCACTCAAAAGAATTTGGCTATTTCTGGGGACTTTGCTGGAAGCAGAGTCAGTCCTGTTCCTCTGATAATTCTGAAGGCTTTGCTACACTTCAGAGCAATTCACCTGAAGCCTGCTTTTTCCTATGCTACTATCATAGGAACTCACGTTTCAGTAAGTCCACATGACTTCATGAGCATCATGAAAAGACTGTGGTCTGGGCTAGGAAAGGGGCTGCAGGAGACACGCTCAGAGTGACTGAGTGGAAAGACCTGGAAAGACTTACGTGAACTGATACAAAGTGAAATGAGCAGAACCAAAAGAATATTGTACACAGTAATAGCAACACTGTATGATGATCAACTGTGAATCAATTAGCTGTTCTCAGCAATTACAATGATCCAAGACCATTCTGAAGGACTTATGATGAAAAATGCTATCTACCTCCAGAGAAAGAACTGATAGAATCTGAATGTGGGCTGAAGTATACTTTTTTACTTCATTGGTTTTTTTTTTGGTCTGTGTTTTGCAACATGGCTAACATGGAAATGTTTTGCATGTGTGCACATGTATAATCTGTATTAAACTGCTTGCCCTCTCAAGAGGGAGAAGAAGGTAGATAGGGAGGGAGAGATAAGGAACCCAAAATTTGAAAAAATAAAAATGACAGCAAATGAATAAAACACATCCTTCTATTTGAAGGAAAGCTCTTACTCTCTCACCCCATCCCCTGTACGTCTTTCCTGCGGTTCTGAAAAGAGCTCAGCACCTCAGAAAAGAGTGAAAGGTATGGTGAAATAAGTTAAGTCAAATCAGCAAGCAGCATTAAGCACTTACTATAGGCCAGGTAAAGTGCTAAGCACTGGGAACACAGATAGAAGCAGAAAGAAAGGAAAGATAGTCCCTGCTCTCAAGGAGCTTACATTCTAATGTGGGAAGAAAACAAATAAAAGGAAGGTAGGAACATGGGTAGAGAAAATCCAAAGAGTTAGGAGTAGAGCCTGGAGAGGAATGAAGACATGGCTAACCTGGGCATACTCCTTAAAATGGAGGTACTGAGAGGGAGCAGCTAATCAGAAGAAGGAACCAGAGGGGCAGAGAATACTTAAGCGCAATTCTTGATCCTGAAGAGGTAGATGGGGTCATCTGGGCCAACTGACCCAAACTGTTAAATAGAAAAGGACATTAAAAGCATTCTAGTCTTTGGGGGTGCTAACAATAATGAAAAGAAAAACAACCAATATGCATATAACACTTTAAGATCTACAAAGCATTTTCAATACATTGTCTCATCTGATCCTCACAACTCTGTGTAGCATTACTCCATTTTACAGCTGAAGAAACTGAGGCCCAGTGAGGTTAAGTGACTTGCCCAGGTTCACAAGATAAGTACCAGAAGCGGTATTCACACGTAGGTCTTCCTGATTCCAACTGCAGCACTCTATCTACCGCCCCTCCCTGCCTCTACCTACCTAGTGACGTCCAAGCTATCCTGGTCTGAATCAGCCTGCACAGGGTACCACCATTTTCCTTTGATCAGCTCATGCAGTCCACCATGACATTGGTGAAGACGTGCCTTCTCTGGAACCTAAAAAAAAGGCACCTGGAAGGATTGGGTCCCTTACCTGCCGAGCGATGGAGCTGTTAGCAGGTTCTGGCACCGGCGAGATAAGGCTGGACGGGCTCTTTTTGTGAACGCTATTCATACCAGGCATTTTAGTGATTTTACAGGCTTTGTTACTAGAACTAGAGTTCTTACGCTTTTTCCCTTCTGATTTGTCAAAAGAAAGGGGTAGAGAAGACACCGCATTGTGTGTGGCCAGGGTGAGATCCCCCGCATGGTGCACCAAGGAGGGTACTGACGGGTTACAGGAGTCAATACTGCTGACTACCGTGCTCATGTGTTTTACGGAGTCTGTGGAGCCACCTGACAGTGAAGTCCGTCCTGAGGGCTCCATTTTGGCACTGAGTGGACTTGTTCCATTGTTTGTACTGTGCACAGACAGACTGTTATAGGAAGATGTCGCCTGATAGGAGTTCAATGTGGAACTTGGGTTCAAGACACAGTTCTTTTTGTGGGGCCCTGAAAATGAAGACGAGGGAGAGGTCTGCAAGGTTAATGAGGAGGAAGAGCAAGAAGACTGTGGCTTTCTCTTTTTGTTACTCGAAGACTCATCGCTACGGGCAGACAGGTCTTTGACCTTTGAGGATTTGCTGGTTTTTGTTTTGGATGGCTTGTGGGATGGGGAAGGGATGACAGCTGGCACTGGGGACATAGCAGATGGAGCCTTAAAAGTTGGGTCCAGGATGCTTAGCGTCGCAGCCACATGGGGGAAAGCTGTGGTGTGTGACATGATGGAACCCGTGTCTGACGTTGTCACAAAGGCTGCATTTGAGAGCATGGCTGATGTCATTATGTAAGAAGAAGTGATTCTTGAGCTGATGGGTGCTGAAGGAAGATACACGGCATTAGGGTTGCTGAAAGGCTGTAAAACAGATGCTGGAACAGGGGTGGTGATATGTGTTGCTGGCGAAGGCATGGGACTATCTGCTGCAGGAGGAATCTTCCTAAATATGAAAGAAAAATGAGAGAAGACAGCAAGCATCAGCATTGGCAATGTCCTTCTGAAACTCAGATTAGGTCTGAGCAGTTCAGGTCGGGAAAGAGAACCTTTTGAGGACCAAACCACAAAAAACAAAAACCTTCAGGATGCCAAATTCTTCATTATTGCCTCTACATATTATTCCCTCTCACCTTTACCCTTACACTGTTACTGGAAATTCCAGTAACAGAGTCTCTAAAAAAATTTTTTTATCATGGGATTACAGACTTAGAGCATGAAAGAACCTTTAATGTCATCTTGACCATCCTCCTTATTTTACAGATGAGGAAACTGAGGCCAAGAGAGATGAAGTGACTTGCCTTAGGTTCTAGAGGTAGTAAGTGGCAGAACAACAATCTGAACCCTGGCCCTCTAATAACTGTCCTTCCACTGGACCAGGCTACTTCTCTCAGTCTGGGGGTTCCATATTCTAGTCTACTCCCCATGTGTGAATGTTGGAGTGGTTTAATTTTAGAGGGGTCCACATGTGAATGGCAAAAGAGCAATCTGGAATACAACCTGGGTGCTATGCACTTCTATTTTCCCTAAGCCATTGCATCTTTATCTCTTTTTACTGGGAAATGTTCATTTGGAATTTAGGAAAGCGGGGGACTAGCTCTGCATCAAGTCACTGGCTTGAAGTGAGAAGCGTGAGGCTGTAGCCTTGGTCAACACCTCCCTGTTAACACACTGCTCTGCCAAAGCTCTCCCACTTGCCACCCGCTACACAGCCACTGCTCCCTGAGGCCTAGTCAACTTTCCCTGGAGCGTAACCTGGTCAAATTTCCCTCTTTATAACTGAGTCCAATCCAAAGTGGTTGGGTTCCCCCTCTTTCTCTATTCTACCCTTTACTGGGTCTAGACAATGAAATGACTGTTCTCCAGCATCCACTTTGGGGGAGTCCAGTTTATTCTTTTGCAGTTTTTTTTCCAGGTGAATTCAGAGGTAGACGTTCCTGTTAACCTGCCATTCAGGGCAGGTACAGAGGTGTTAGAAATTACTCCCTTTTAAGGCAGTCAGTGAAAGAAGAAGGTTCCAGACAACACAGCTGAACTTCTTGCTCCTGCTATCCCCTGCCTCCTCTTCCATCGCCCCTTCCCTCCCCCCTCAAAATAACGACTCTAAGGGGCTTGGATTGTAATCTAAGACACTTCTTCCTGTGCCTGTGGAAGGAAAGATGATGCAGTGACCACCCCCCAGGTCTAGTGGGGGAGACGTATGCTCAGAGAAAAGGGAGCTATATCAGGGATCAGGAATTCTTTGTCATAATAGCAATAACAGCAGCTGACATCTTATATAACACTTTAAGATTTGTTCTGTGTCTTAGGTATTATGTTGTTTGAGTCTCATAACAAACCTGTGAGGCAGGTGCTATCACATTATCAACATAATCTATTTTACAGGTTCAGAGAGGCTGACTTGCCCACAGTCTAAGGTAGGAATCAAATACAGGTTTTCCTGACTCCAGGCTCAGCACTATATACACAATTTTTAATGCCAGCAATTTTCAATGGGAGTAAATGCTCAGGTACATACCAGAACTGGATACCCCACATTGACATGAGTATTGGGAAAGATCAGTTTTCTGCTTCTTGGTCTTGCTTGCTATCAAGGCAATGCCTGAGACCATATTATCTACCCCACTCTGTGTTAAGACCAAGGTCTGCATTCTTCTGGTCTTCACTCTTGAAGGTTTCTACCTTTCCCCTCCGGGCCACCCTTTATAACCTTGCTTTTCCAAACCAGTCTCGGAGGGGAAGTGCTCCTTCCTTGCCTACGAAGTCGAGCAGCTGAAGCACAGTTTTTGTTCTTCTTCCCCTCATCTTTCTATCCTCCCACCACAGCATGAAGACAATGGAGCCAAGATGGGGCATTACAGGTGACGAACAGTGGAAGGACAATGTGGAAAGTAGGAGAAAGTTCTTTACTTGGAGTGCTCACCTTAAATAAGGAGGAGGCTTTCTCAATCATTCTACATGTACTTATTTCTGAGAACCAAAAGGCAATGGATTTCAGAGCTGCTTGACTTGTTTCCATTTAAGCTCTCAGGTAACTTCCATATGATATGGAACTGATACATGTTAAGAAACTACTGAAAATGTACAGTTCTTCTGTCAATAGGCATGGTGAGTATGGAGTTAACCTTGCTTCATTTGTGATGATAATACTATGTTAGAATCTCCCACGATAGTTAATCTAACAAGATACGTTACAGTCTCCCAAGATTGTTAATCATAGTTCTTCCTTTTTTCCTAATATATTGAGTGCCCTCATCAGTTGTCATCCTTCCAGGTTCGGGTTCAGTGGATGTGGGTAAAGGGGCCTTGAGGGCAATAGAGTGTCTCACTCTTCCAAATTAGCTTTAATGTTGCTCAGCACACACACACACACACACACACACATACAAAGTTGGAGAATAAAAGAATCTTGAGCTGGGCTGTAGAGTCCTTGTGGTAGGTAGGGTGAGGAATACTGAGTTTCATCTGAGTGAACACCAGGGATTCAGATATAGGTCAACTCTATTTTTCATAATACACAAAGAAAGCATCTGTGAATATTGAAGACTTCTTCTGATCCCTGGAGAATACAGAAGGGCAGCCACTTCACAAGGGCAAATAATACCTGATATCTAAATAATTAGAGACAAAGACCTTGTATGCGATGCTAACTGGGTCTTTTCAGACCCAGGAGGCAGTGCCTTGAATATGGAAAGAGTTATATGCTTCTTTTTTTTCCTTATAAATATATTAACATTCAATCCATAGCCTACTATGTGTGAGGTAGACTGTTTGGTTCAGCTGGCACCTCATAGGAAATCAGATTTGGAGAGTAACAATATGAAAAGAAATCAAGAGTTCCTTTTACATTGGGTTTGGAGAGAAGAAAAATGCCACTGAGTGAAGAAGCAGCCTTATCCAGGAGAGGCACCTCCCTAATCTCTTGGTTTGGCTTATATGGAGAAAGTCCACTGAGCAAAAACTTAAGTATTGTTTTCATCAGAATTATGGACCATGATACTGAGCATAAAGACATAGCAGCTGTGATATTGATGCACCAACAAGCAGAATTGCAGTAGTTCAAAAGAAATGTGAGATATGCAACTTTAGAGACATCTCTCCTCCAAATGTTCATATGGACTATATATACCTGACCTGTGGTAGAGCCTTCTGAGTTCCTATTGATCTGAACAACTGACTCCCAACATAGTGATGGTCCTCTTTGAGAATGAAGGAAAACAACCAATGTGCCAATGCAGCTCACCTTCTAGGAACAGAAAACCTTGGGACCTCCCCTACTTCTGGGTAGAGAAGGTGACTGTCTATGCAGTGCAATTTGAGGGAGGTGTTGGGTAGGGCTTCCCATCCCAAAAATATTAACCTTACTGCCTGCTATTCAACCATTATAGCTTTATTCCTTTGACGTTTTATGTGTCATTATTTTTTTTCCTTTTCAAGAACATATGCTTGGGAAATATTAAGCCTTAGATGCTAACACCTTAGCTATCAACATCTACTATTTGGCAGCCATTTCCAAATTAAGACTGTGAAAGAACAGTACACAGGACAGGAAATGGGGGGTTAGAAAGGATCAGACATCAGGATGATGGGAAGAATTAATAGGGGAGGTTAGAAGAGCAAGAATCAAATTTTGCCCTTTCCCCATTTTGCTGGAGACCTCCCTTACACAGATTACGCCTACAGGGTCTGAAGCCTAAGGACTGAACCTATGACTTCACCGACACAGGGAACTCCTTCATCAATGCAATTTGGCACATTCTCTGCAATCTAGTCTTAGAAAGTTGCCTAGAACACTACTACACTGATAGATGAAGTGACTTGTCCAGAGTCACAGAGCCAGTAGATGTCAAAGGCAGGAGCTGAATTTCTCTCTGGCTCTGAGGCTGGCTTTCTATCCACTACGCCACAACGCTGCTTATTCAAAGACATAAAGGAAAACATGTAGCATTAGGCTGCATGGGAAATTTTCACTTACTTCCACATTTGTGAATTCAAGTGTTTTTCTACCATAGAGTTTAGTGCGAATCGAAAGCGATCCCATCTCCGATCAAACACGTAGTACCCTCGTCCCATGAGGCGACTCCCAAATGAACAAAACTGAAACAAAACATTTTAATTTTAATTACAGGTTAATAAGCTAATACAAACTGTAGAGAGAAAGCAACATTTGTATAAATGCACTCTTGGGTACAATCTCACTTGAAATAAAGAAGCAAATAGTACTAAAGACAAAAAACATCTCTGTTTTGCTTCAGTATGAGATCCAGATTTTCTGCAGAAATCTAGATGCAACCCAGCATCAGGCCACACTAGAGTTGGCTGCATAGCTAAAGGCCAAATTCACAATAGAGGCCTGACCTGGAAAAGTACAGAGGCATAGGTGAGTGTAGTAGGTAATGAAATCATGTTAACCCATAGTCAGCTGAATGTTCCTTAAAAGCAGTTTTGTAACTTTATCAGATCCAAATGCAAATCCTGACCTTGGACCAGAAAGGCCCTATAGAGCAGTAACGAAGGGAAAAATTATGAGAGGCAGCCTGGTTCAGTGTGAAGAATGTTAGATTTGGAGACACAAAACCTGAATTTGAACTCTGGCTCTGGCTCTTACTACCTGTGTGACCCTGAGTGAGTTAAATAACTTCTTTGGGCCTCAGTTTATCTGTGAAATGTGCTGAAATGTACTCTAGACACCCTACTGTTTTGAAATCTATGCTTTAAAGTCCTCTATCAATTTTACTTACCTAGCCCATCTTCTAAGAAAAACCCTGGCATATAACAGGATCGTAAATTTAGAGCTAAAGGGGTCCTTGAAGGTCATTAAACACAATTCCCTCATTTTAACAGTGAGGGAACTGATGCCTAGAAAAGTAAGTGATTTGCCTCATATCCTACAGCTAATAAATGTTGGAGGAAAGTTTGAACCCAGGTCTTCCTGACTCCAATTTCAATACTTTATCTACTATACCATAATGCTTCTATATCAGGGGTTCTCAGCCTGGGGTACAAGAATTAAAAAAAAAATACTGTGGTAACTATTTCAACATAATTGGTTTCCTACAGTTCCATTGGTTTCCATTCAATTGGTTTCCATTCAGAGCTGTCAGAGGTGGGATTGGATGGGCCCCACTGGGACTCTATCCCCTGTACTACACTGCCTTGTGCAACCTTCTCCCTCGTGACTTCCTAACAGGGCCCTTCTAGGCCCAGCCAGGTCAGTCTCCTTACGGGTTCTCATTTCTGTTCCTTTTCCTAAAGCCAACTTCAAACCCCACATCAAAAACACACTCATTTCAGTCTTCATTATATTCCCTATGCTGCCCTCTCTGTTTTGATTGCCCTTTTCCATCTTCTTGGCAAATCTTTAGCCTATATGTTCCTCAATGCCTATGTATGATGGGCCTTTTCTATGATCCTTTTCCTGCCCCTAATCTCCCTAGCAACCTGATTTCTTACTCTAAACTTTGGTGGCACCTATGTTCAAAATCCGTCTTCCATATCACCATGTTGCCTTGGAATTATTTGTGTTTTATCTGTCTCATGACCCTAACTATGTTCTAAGTTCATCAAGGTTAGGAGCTATACAATTTCTTCTTCCTTTGTATTTTGCATAACGGATCAATATTTATACAGAGCAGAGACTGCATAAATGTGGGTTGAATTGAGCCAAATTTCCTTAATAGCTGCAGAAAATCCATTTTGTTATATTCTCACGTTAAGCTCTTCTATGAACAGGGTTAAACAAACAAACATACTTCATAGATCAAAATAGGGGAAATTCAGTTGAACAACAGTTTGTGAATAAAGGACTGAAGTATTTTGGTACCATACCAGTTTAAGATGAGCCAGCAGTGTGACCTGGCAAGACCAAAAAACTCACATGATCTTAATTAGTCAAAAGTCATCTTAAGTTGCACTAAAGGCTATGAATGGAGTACCCACAATAAAGGTAGTCATAATATTGCTGCAGCCTGGATAGGTGGAAGAGAGATACAAGGTGGCTGTCTTCAGATATTTGGAGGGCTCTCATGTGTAAAATATATTAGATTTCCTTTACAAGGCTGAATTGTTCTGTGTTGAACTATGGTAGTTCAACATTTTATCAATGACTTTGAAAAGCAATCAGTGGTGTGGCTATGAAATTTGCAGCTGATGTGAAGCTGGAAGTGACAGCTCACACAATGAATAACTGAGTTGAGAAACAAAACAATCCTGACAGGTTAGAACGGTGGAGCAAAACTTAACCCAGTAAATGTGAAGTCCTACTCTTGGGTTCAAGTCATCAACTTCACAATTACAAGATAACAGAGCTAAGCTTAGTCATGTGAAAAATATCTGGGAGCTGGAGGGGGGTGGAGGCTGCAAACTTAATGAGTCAGTAGTGAGACATTGCAGCCAAAAAGGCTAATGGACTAAGAAAGGCACAGTGTTCAGGACACAAGAGCTGATGACCCCATTCCACTTGTGCTGCTTTGGTCAGCACATCTGGGGTACTATGTTTATTTACTTCTGGGCGCCACATTTATAAGGTGGAGAGCATCCTAGTTGGAAAGGAATGTAAAAAATGGTAAGAGGTCTTAAACCACGCTATAGGAAGACTGGTTGAAGGAAATGAGGATATTTATCTTGAAAAAGAAAAGACTTAGGGGGAACATGGTAGCTGTGTTCTAGTAATCGAAGGACTAAAGGACTATCATACAGAAGTGGGGTTAGGATTTTTTTTTCCCTTGGCGTAGGCACTCTGAGTGAAGTTACAACAACGGCAGGTTTTGGTTCGTATACATTTGGGAGGTAGTGAGTTAGAGCAAATGCTGAATGATCACGTGTTGGAGATAGAGAACAGGATCACGGATGGATTTGACTAGGTTCAATTTGACTAGGTTCTTTCCAACTCTGGAATTCTGTAATCTTTAGTATCAGTCGCCTAAGGGCAGAACTGGGAATGATGGGTCAAAGTTACAGAAAAGCAAACTTTAGCTAGGTATAGGGCAAAACTTCCTACCCATTAGAGCTGCCCCAAAATAGAACGGTTTGTCTTAGAGTAGAACAAGTTCTTAATCTTTGAAAGACTCCAAGAAGAGAGGGTGGCCAATCATCAGAGGTGTGATAAAGGACTTGTTCTAGAGGACCTTTTGAGGTCTCTTTGATGACTCCTGAGATGCTACAGCTCTTTAGGACAAGAAATTCAGAAGTAGGAGTACATACAGGCATTGCACCAAAGGACAAATCTAGGGGGACAACATCTCATCAATGAGATCGTTTTCAGAAAACTTTCTGTGATCTTCTCTTTTTCTTTACAATCAACATCCCATCTTTCATTTCATGTCTAGAATGTACTCTCTCCTTACCTCTGCCTCAAAAAAGTTCATTTCTTCTTTTAAGATGCAGCTCAGGTACCATTTTCTGCATGAAGTCTTTCCTAATCCCTCTACTCACTGGTGTCCTCTCTCCCAAACTATCTTGCAAGGAACTATTTGATATATATTCATATTTATTAATTTTATATTTAATGCTATATATATTTTAATATTTACTTGTATCTCCCATTAGAATATAAACTTATTGTGAGAAGTGAATGTTTCATTTTTTGTACTTACATCCCCAGTGCCTAGCAGAGTGCCTGGCACACAGTAGGAACTTAATACTTGTGGATTGATTGATTAATTTGAAACATCTGGTTGAAATACATGGATGAAGCTGCTTAATAAATACTGTTTGATTATGGCAATAAGAGTCTTAGAGGACCAACAGAAGGAGAAAACAGCCCGTGAAAAGGTGACATTTGGCTGAGTCAGAAGCTTAGGTTAAGTTTGCAAATGACTCTATAACTTAAATTTAGCTTTTCTCCCTTCCTTTGGGACTTCCAGCAGCTTTTGGCCTTCATCCCAGACATAGTACTGGCTTAGCTCTCATACTGGAAACTCTTCCTGGAAATCAACCCATCTGATGGAACAGTTCTCAGGAGGAAATGGGAAAACTTCCCTTTGCTGTTGCTGGATATTTTTTTGGGGGGTGGGGGATTCAAATTTTACTATGTCCTAAATCTGGGGCTGTTCATGAAAAATATTTTCTGCATTAGATTATGATAAATTTACAAACCAAAGAAGAAATTGTGAGGTTTCTTCCAACCTGGGAGCCAGTTACCAATAGTATATGGGGATTATTTCAACCCAGGGTGGGATACCTCATACATTTAATAGCCTGATTTTTTCATTGCCTTTGTTAGGAGAACTGCTTTCCCCCGGCAGAGATCTTTAAAAACAGGCAAGGTACTTAGAAGACAGCGTGCATTCAGATCTAGGCAACCTCTAGATTCTTCCTTTCATGAAGGCCTGTAAAAGGCAAGTCTTTTGTGGTATAAGATCTACCACTATCCCCTTCCCTTCCTATCCAAAAATCTGTAAATGCTCTGACCCAGTAGTGTCAAATTCAAATAGAAACAGATCCTTGCTGTCCACATATTGACTTCAAAAACCTCAAATTATTGATCTCACCTACGTTGTACTGTGTTTTTCTTTATTTTGTTAATCTTCCAATTACATTTTAACCTGGTTCAGGCCCAACAGGGAGTTTCACAGGGGTAGGGATACCTCTGCTCTCACCTGCTCTTGGCTCACTGCTGACACTGCACTGGCCAAGTGGCAAAGTCTTGGGCTATTGTGTGAGTACTAGTTCCTTACATTAATAAAATCATAGGTTACAGGGTTAAAGATCTGAGTCTAGAACGGACCTAGTAGGTCACCTAGTCCGATACTATCATTTTAAAGAGGAAGAAACAATTTGGCCCAAACAGCAATAACAACCCTCCCCTCTCTGCTACTTGGGCCAGATAACTCAATTCTTCAGTCCTTATGCTGGTCAAATTACCATTCTTTCTAAGTACCAGGCCATAGGTTGGCTGGAGGGGGGCGGTGGTTGGCAGGGGTGGTGGAGTCACAGAATCCAGCCCAATCCCACCCACCAAGTATAACTGACCTTGCCTCTGTGAGTCTCTTTCTAATATTCACGTATCAAAAATGAAAAAGTCTCTAGTATTACCTTGCTGTCCCATCACTCGAGGCAGTTAGGAGGCTTAATGGATAGAGTACTGGGCCTGGAGTGAGGAAGACCAGAGTTCAAAACCAGCCTCAGATACTTACTAGCTGTGTGACTCTGGGCAAGTCATTTATCCCTGTTTGTCTTTATCCACCGGAGAAGGAAATGGCAAACCACTCCAGTATCTCTGACAAGAAAATCCCATGGACAGTACTGATGTGATATGGTCCACAGGGTTACAAAGAGTTGGATACAACTGAACTACTGAGCAACAATGCCAACTACCACTTCAATTTCCATTGGCTTCCTTTATCTAAAAAACGTCTGCTGAGGGTTCTAAGAGCTGCCTTTTATCGGTTCATGCTGACATAATCTTTCTTCCCCCACTTCACAGACATACACAGCTTCCTTGGTTCTGGTGCCATATGGTCATGCTTACTAATAACAATAAAATTTAGAAGCAACAGGGAAGAAAACCAACCAGAGCAGCCAGACTGGGGTACTGCTAAGACAGACAGTTCTCTGAGCAGATGGGTGAGAGCAGCCCTTGAAAGCCGACACTCCGTTTTTAGATAGATGAGGCCATGAGTTTAGCGCACAAGTGCACTTACATAAATACCATCCCTCAAGTGTTACTGCTTCAAGGTGGACCACAAATACTCAGCAGTTTAAAGGCTCATAATCAGCCTGCAGCTCTTTCTCTCTTATGAGTTTTTCAAGGGTGTTTTTATGGCAGCCATTCAACCTTAAGGGCTAGCACACTCCCTAAACACAAAAACTTGCTGCCACTGGCTTCTCATGGTGCTTAGGAGTCCTGTGATGCTGAGAACTAAATACTCAGGAGGCAGAGCGAAAAAGGAGAGACGGAGACATGAAGAAACCTACCCCTAGAGGTCGAGGATGGTGTGAAGAATAGTGACAATCTAGCTTCTCTGTCTCTTCTGTTCCATCCATTTCTCCTTCATCACTGGACAACCGGCTGGCTAGATCTCCTCCAACTGAGGGCAGTGGCAGTTCTGGTGCATACCCACTGTGATTTGAAGATATGGTACTATTTATGCTATTTGCAGACGATGGTCTAAGGGATAAAGAAGAGATTAAACAATAACATTATGAAGATCCCCGATTTTACAAAGCCTAATAGGTGTATGTTTTGTTTGTTAAGTTAGTCCTCTAAGAGACCGCATCACAAATCTTTACAATACTTCAGAGAGAGAAGGTAATGGCAAACGTCATCATCCCCACTTTTTTTTTGCAGGGTTCGGTTGGTTAATTGATTATATCCTTGCAGGGAACTCCCAGTGTAGAAACTCTCTCCACTACTACACATTAGCAACTCCTCTGTAATTTAGTTTCTGAGAGTTCCCTGAGTGGCACTGAGAGGCTACAGGATTTTCCCATAGTGATACAGATATAGTGTATATCAGGGCAGGCTCTGTACCCATGTCCCAGATCTAATACACCAGACTGCTTCTGACAATCTGTACATGGAAAGATTGAGTCTTGAAGAAGACAACTGACCAGTTCAAAGAGACATCATGAGTCAGTGACATGAATACTAGCTTTTCAGACATCTTAATCTTGGACTCCAGCTTAAAGTCACTGGTTTGGGGGCATAATGCATGAAAAAGGTGTAAAAATACAACAGAAGACGGCAAGAGAGACAGCATGACATAGAAGATAGAGAGCGGGCCTTGGGGCCAAGAAAGCCTGAATTTTCAAGTCCCATCTCTGCCAGATATTGTCTGTGTGACCCTGGACAAGTCACTTAATCTTCTCGTGGCTGTCTAAGACAGAGATTCTTAACCTTTTATATGTCACAGACTCATTTGGCAGTCTGATGAAACTTACAGACCCCTTCTCAGACTAATTAAAAATATATATGTAGTTGAAGGAAATGCTTAATTTCAATTAAAGGTTAGTGAAAATAAAGATGTAATTTTTTCCCCATCCAAGTTTATGGACTTCCTGAAATCTATTTATTGGTGCCTTTGGGTCCTGTGGACCTCAGGTTAAAAACTCCTCTTCTAAGACTATTTTTTACAGAAAAGGTGCCAAACATCATTGGTAGAGAAAAATTTGTCACCAGGAGTTCCACAGACCAATGAAATCATGGGCACAATCCTTAACTCCTACTATGCAAATAAAATGCTTCATATGACAAGAAATCAATTTTAAAGGAAGTTTGTTTTCCAACTTCAGACAATGACAACCAGACCGGGTTAATATGAATTACTAACTGAATCTATGGAGAACAAACATCTTATAAAATTGATTTCATGTCATATGTAGTACTTTACTTGTATCTTAGGGGATAAGGTCTGGACCAATGATTTCCATTGGTCTGTGGAGCTCTTGGTGAGGAACTGGGAAAAAGACTAAGTGGAAAAGTACATTGAAAATAAAACAAATGAACAAGGAAGACATCGGCTCCCCTCCTAGCATCCTCTCTGCTGCTAAACTCTTACTTTATGGTACTGATATTATGTTGGCAGGAAAAAAAAGCCTGCCACTCAGACAATGCTTCTAGCTCCTATTAGATAGCCAAATGTCTTTTAAAGTACCAAGTCCCTCATCACTTACCTGTTGCTTACTTAATGAGCATAAATGGCTCTGTATAATAAGATCTACTCAGTGGCATGCTTTCACCAAAAATTTCATTTAGACAAATAAAAGCCACTCCAATATGGATTGTGGGCAAGCTTGTTTAACTCCTCCCCACCAAAAAAAGGGCCATAGCAAGTTGTGCATAACACTGGATTCATCCAAAGCAGCAGCAGACCCAATTATCTTAGTACAATTTTTGTGTTTTTTTTTTCCTAAAGGAAGAGCTATTCAATTAATAACTATCTCCTTATCTCTTACTCTCTTTCATCAGGTGGCTAAAGGGGGTAAGGAGAGATGGAAGGAGGCAGGAAGCTTTTGAGAATGAAAATCTTGCTCTGTTTTTTTCCCTTCTGCTTTGATAGTTGTCCCTTTAAGTCACATGAGAATGCTAATAGTGTTCATTTGTGTCCTCTCCTTTTCATTTTTACCATGACTTCCTTATTTCTTTGAAATCTGACCTGGTCTTATGGGCCTGATTCTGAATCGGAGCCCCCAAAACACAGTTGTTTTAAAATAAAAGCCAGTCAGAGTTTTTCTGGCTTACTCCAAGACTACTACACTACCATTTACTCCCACCATCCTCCTCCAGTCTGGAAGGTAAACTTGATCTTACTACTTTGTCCAGCTTGGTTCAGGGAAACCTGGAGAAAAGTAGCTTTCCCTCCTTGCTCTGGAACCCTCGCCTTTCCCAGAGGACTATGACAAAAACTTGAGGACAACACAAATAACCAAATTGGGAGAAAGAGAGAGAAAGGGAATGCGATGAGGCTGTTCATAGAATCATAAACTTAGAGTTGGAAGGGACTGAAGAGGCCATCTAATCCAGCTTCTTCACCGTATGGATGAAGAGGCCCAGAGAGGTAAAGAAATTTGCTCAAGGTCATACAGGTAATAAAGCAACAGAGGGCAGCAGAGGACAGGGGAAAGAATTTTGGACTTCAAGTCAGGAAGTTCTAGTTTCAAATTCTATCTCATAGGTCCTCGATAATTTTGTTAAGAGCCACAATCTCCTTTTCAGGATACTTGAAATCAATAAGGGGTAAGTAAGTGTATGTATGTAAAATGGTAATAATGATAGCTAGCATTTATATAGTGCTTAATATATGCAAGGCACCGCACTAAGTGTTTTGTGAGTATTATCTTATCTGATCTTCACAACAACCTTCTGAGGTGGATGCTATTATTATCTTCATTTTACAGTTGAGGAAACTGAGGTAAGCAGAAGTTTAGTGACTTGTTTAAGGTCACACAGCTAGTAAGTATCTGAGGAGGGATTTGAACTCAGATATTCCTCACTCTAGGCCCAATGCTCTATCCATTAAGCATTCTACCATTGCTAATATGCGATTATTATCACCATCCCCTTTCACACTTGTATCACACTTCTACATTCATAATTTATTTGATACTCACAATAACTGTGTGAAGTAGGAAGGGCAGGGATTATTATTTCAAATTAAAAGAACAGAAAGAGAGACAATTGCCTTGGTTGAGGAAATAAGCTAGTAAGAGGAGAGTTGGCTCTTTACAGCAGTATTGGTTTAGGTATTAGGGGAATCCCCAGTATCTGGTGAGAATGGGCTCATAGGCTCACCAGTTAGAGATCATTCCATGTAGAAGGCAGGTCCAAGTGTTCAGCATGTAGGACTGGAATCTTGCTGTCAAATTGGGTTTAATGGTTCACAGAAGATGGCTATTCTTAAAGACTGCTTTCCTTTGTGCCTCAAACCTAACTAAGAAATCTTTGAAGATCACAGACCTTCCTCTTCCACACTCCAAAGAAAGAGTTATCCCTAGCTGTCCTTGGTGCTGAAGGGCTCAAGGCAGAAACTCTGTGGCGTGAGGCTGGTAATAGCTGGGGAGATGGCACGTGAAATCAAGGAAAATCAATAATACCAATGCTATTTACAGATACCACAGAATTAACATAGAGAAGACAAAATTAAAAAACAAACAAACAAACCTGGTTAGCTATGTAAAAGTAATACTAATTACTTCGATTTATCATAATTACTTACCATTTGTATAAGATGTGCCATAACTACTATGCCAATCATTAATAAATGTCAGATCACTTGTAAGTTGTACTTGATTACAACACCAAACTCTCTTTGTGTATGCTTAGTCTTCTTGGCTTATGTGACATGGCACTCTGTTCACAACTTTATAGGAAACCTTGCTTCCCACGAATTCTGTAACAAGCTTGGGTCAGTGTTTTTCTTGCTCGTGTTAACTTTGAAAATAGCTTTTAAAAATGAGACTACTAACTTTGAAACTGTGCTAATCATCCCTGCATTTCCAATGACAAGCCCATACCCCATCCCCTCCAATCATCTCAGCCGTATTTGCTTACTCCCCTAAGTCACTAGACTAAGAGAACATGAACATATGCAGTTTCCTCAAAGACACACATTTCTTTGAAAATACAATGAAAAAATGAAGAAAGAAGAGACTGCACAGACACAGATACAGACATCCACACACACTTGAGCACACGTGCTCATGATGAGCCTACTGACTGAGTACGAGCCCAAGTTTTTCTTCTTGGAAGAGTGCTATAGAAACAGGCATATAAACAGACAAAATGGAGTGTGGAAGGGGGGAGACATAAGACTAGTACCCAACCTGAAGGTGTGAAACAATTTTCTCATTGTGAAAGCGTGACAATAAGACCAGACAACTTCCAGGTTTATGGTAAGGAACATAATAAAATGATTGCAAAGCAGGAGACACTTAGAAAGTGCCATGCAAACAGAGAGTTATAATGATGAACCTGCTGCTGCTGATTATAATAACGGCAATGTGGGCCTGCATCAAGCTGATGTCTTTGTGGACTCCACTACATCCAGAGCCTTAGGCCAGTATCGTATTTCCCATTCAGCTCTACCAGTCACACTGGACCAAATACAAGCTTCAAAGCAAGAGAGGTGATATAGAGGGGTTGTTTTTTTTTTGATGCTCAAAATAGCTTCTGATTTCTTGCAGCAAAAAAACAAAATGTAGATCTTTAACTGCTCCAAAATCCAAATGAGTTTTAATTTTGTATATCCTGTTCTCTCATTTCTGTTCAAGATGGCAAAATGGAGCCCAACCAAAGTGATTTAATTGTTTCCAAGAGCAATGCCTTGAGAGAAGGAACAGTTTCCTCTGTGTGAAAAGAACTGAGAGGAGAACATCTTCTGTTCTCCTAGTTTTCATTTCAGCCTGCTTCTGGGAAAGTCCCAAAGATTTCAAGAAATGCAGTTAATTGATGCCAATTTGAAATGGCCTAGGTAGGCTATATACTGATTGGTCTAAAGCAGCAGCGTCAAATTCAAATAGAAACAGATCTCTGGGGGTTGCAGATTGACTTAGAAAACCACAAATTAACATCATATATGTTGTATTCTATTTCCATTTTTTTTGGTTCAACATTTCCCTTTACATTTTAATCCGGATCCCTGCCTCACTGGGGAGTTTTGCTGGTCAGGACACGTCTGATCTAAAGGATATCCTGACAATTCATCTGTTTAGCATTTGTTTCATTCTCTCTTCTGCCATTTATAACAAAGATGACAACCAGCAGATGACTGGATAAGTAACTAGTAACTGATGTAGCATCCTCCCAGGTGTCTACTTCCATCTGGCAAAAGGAAGCACACACCCTAAGTGTCTTGCCACACTGAAACACATACAATGTGATACCAAGCCCTGTGCCCACAGAAACACTGTCTGGGACCCATAGCATGACAAAGAGTATTCCCGTGCTGGAGGCTTACCTAGGAAGAACAGAATTAGGTGGTCTGGATTTTGCAGGAGATGCTACTTTCAGTTCTGGCCCAGAGTTCATTGAAGATCCCAAAAGAGAGTCTTGTGCTGGTATAGGCTGGTTCTGATGTGTTTCCCTTGTTGATGATGGGAGATGCTCTTTGTCTTTAGAGACTTCTTTTTCCCTGGACCGAGCTTTGTGTTCAGCCAGAAGGATGTCAAATTGCTTTTTCCGACCTGGGACTGCCCTCCGATGATTAAGCGAATGTGTCTAAAACAAAAGGAGGATCAAAAGAGCAGCTTCTTTGGTCAGCACGTATACCTGCTTCCCCGCTCCCTCTATTTCTGAAATTGCAATTCAAAGAAATTAAGAGATGCTGAAAAGTCAACTTTCAGGCAACGGCTTTCTGCGGCTATAAAGATGCAACCAGTACGCCAAGTGCTAGGTTAAACTGTGCCCAATATGTATATCGCTGAGAAGCGGAAGCTTTATCTAAAAATGGCATAAAATGACAACTTTCATAATGGACACCATCCAATCAACTTTGCTGAAAAAAGCAACATGAGGGAGCTAGATTTACACCATAATTCATGGCAAAGGCAGGCTGGCTCACCGTCCCAACACAACAGAGCCCCGATACAGAGAAGGGGAAGAGCTCCTCTCTCCATTCAGGATGCTAACTGGGGCTTTTGGTTGACCAATGATAGTTGCTTTTGGTCAGCTATTCCACCGGCAGCCCAGGTGTTGCTGGATTTGAGGCAATGCACGTCATCTTTACTACAGGGTTCGCTCTCAGCAGTGCGGCTGTTGCTGCATACATAAGAATGGAGCGGGGTTTAGAACAGCGCCTGTGAGTGCCTATAAATATGATTTAGTGTCTGGCCTCACAAGTGACAAGGGAAGTCTATTTTTTTTTCCCCTTAAAACGCCAGCCTGCTGGAGGCAGGCACTCTGCTCTGCTGAAAGAGAAGAAAGCATTTCCCTACAAAGAACAGCCGGGGGTCGTGTTGAGGTTCCACACCCTGCCGCGTGCAGAGTGACATGCAAACATTTTGAAGACCGGCCCCAGCAAGAGCAGGAAGTATTGTTTTATGGAAAGAGAAATACCTTGCAGGTGAGTGATCTTGTGCAAGGTTTCTTTGTCTCAGGATCCAATACTCCACAGTGTTTATTTGGGTCAAATTCTCTCTCTGGTTTAAAAAAACAAACAAAAAAAAAAATAAGAAAGAAAAAGGAAACTAAAAAGGATTTGGCATCAAGACTACATTTAAAAAAAAAATGCACATTTGCCCTAATGAGCAAGACATTGTCAGGCAGGCAATCTGTTTACTCAACCAGCAGATACAATGCTTTTACCTTTCCCCACCCCCTTGAGAAACACTTAGAGGAAACTGACATATTTCCCTCTGAATCCAGAGAGTCTGTAAGACCTGCCGCCATGGACAAGCGCAGGACAAAAGACCCTCAGGGAAGACAAGGAAAGGGTGTTGTGCCAGCACATTGTTAGATTTAAAATTGTGATGTCAAAAATCTAGGCATTTGGGTTTTCAGACAAACCAAGCTACAGACAAAGAAGGGTCACCTGAGGAGTGAGATGTCAATTTTACTGAGCTGCTCTGAATTTGAAACTCTAATCTCTTTTACCAGCTATAGGTTATAGTCTTTTAATTGTTCCTACAAAATATCCTCTTCCCTGTGTCTCTTCTGCCTTGCAAAAAACAAAACAAAACAAAACAAAAACTTCCCTGTAGCAAGGCTTGCCATCAGAATAATTTTTAAACCAGACCTGTGATTTCATCAGTATAGGGAACTCCCAGTGGGGAATATTCCCTCTGTCAATACAGGTCAGGATCTCTTTTGCAACTTAAGAGTCTCTGAGAGTTGCCTTGGGAACTGAGAGGTTAAGTAACTTGCTCTGGGTCACACAGCCAGTATACGTCAGAGGTAGAAGTTGAGTCTAGGTCTTCCTGACTCTGTAGCCAGCTATTCAATGTGTCTCCCTATAAGAATCTGAGCTATCATAGAAAAACAAAAACAAGAACAAGAACAAGAAAACCACTCAACCCTTTCTGTCCAGGGCATGCTCCTGGCTGTATCCCAGGCAAGAGGCAAGGGAATGAATGAGTACATACAAAGGAGTCAGACTGAAGCTGCAGGTTACTGGCAGATAGGCACCTCCTAAACACTTATCAGCAGTTGTTTTTTATCAGGATAGGACAGTAAGTCCTATTTTGATTAGCTGGAGAGATGGGAGAATGAGAGTTAGTTACCTTTCACAGGCTCCTGCAAACTATTCTGCCCCGATGTCAATGCTGAATGGTCATGCTAAGCACTCCTAGGAAAACCTGCCTTATGCTTAATCCTTTTGGTGGACCATTACCCCTTCTGGGACCACCAAAACCTATTTCTGCTGCCCACACATCCTTTGATTTTCAGAATTATGGCCAAGGTATAACCCAAACTCAACTCTGCTTATCACCTTTTAGAAAGTGGAAGACAGCTAATGGGTTCAAAGTGTTGGCTGGGACAACCCCTTGGAGGTCAGGATTTCCTTTGCATCGTTCTGGGTCCATGTTCACTCTCCATACCTTTTGGGGAACCTCCCTGGGGTGCTATTGCTCCACAACAGATATTGCTCCAAAGGAATTACAAAGAGCAGCGTTGGATGGCTAATTTCTCATGTTTGGGTGGGACTCCGGGAAGATACAGGAAGAGGAGAGTCCCGAAGCCATTTACTGGGTCCAGGCTTGGTACTGTGCTTGAGGTCCCTGGATGACAGAAGACAGACCCAAGGAAAGATGATCCTAAGGTACATGTCTGAGCATATCACTCTTCTATTCGATCAAATCCAGCGGCTCCCTATTGCCTCCAGGATCAAGTATAAAATTCTCTGTCTGACTTTTGAGCCCCATTCTTCTTACATCTTATTTCTGTCCACATACTCTACAATCCAATAATGTCTTTGTTATTCCTTGTACAAGACACTCACCTCCCCCACTTAATGCATTTTCCCTGGCGGTCCTCTATGCCTGGAATGCTCTCTACCTAATGGTTTCCTCCAAGTCCCAGCTAAAATCCCACCTTTCCTATTCCTTCTTAAATGCTAATGCCTTCCCTCAGTTTGTACATAGTTCACACATGTTCTAGCCCCCATGAGACTCTGAGGTTCTTGGAAGGTGGTTTTGGCCTTTCTCTTTGTCCCCAATGTTTATCGCAGTTCCTGGCATATAGCAGGCACTTAACAAATGCTGGTTACATGTTTAGAGGCAGCCAGGTGGCACAGTGGATAGTGCTGAAGCTGGAGTCAGGCCAACAATAGCTGTACTACCCTGAGCTAGCCCCTTATCCTCCATCTGCCAGAGTTTCTTCATCTGCAAAATGAGGTGTAATAAGGGTGGTTGTGAGAATAAAATTAGGTACTATTTGTAAAGTGCTTTGCAAACCTTAAAGCACTTTATAAATGTCAGCTAATGTTGTTGTTGCTACTGACTTGATGAGCCTGCAGCTAGTTTCCTTTTCATATTTTGTGACAAGGGCCACCCACACTAATAAAAGGGATAAGTCTGACTTGCTAATTTCTCTGAAATGTTCACATCTTCTGGGACATGTGACTTTTCCATGGTGTCCATTCTCAATTTCTCCACTGAATCCTGTTCAGCAGGGATCACAGAATCACAGAACTTCAGTGTTAGAAGGCACTTCAGTGGCCATTTAGTTCAACTGGGGGGAAAAAAAGAATTCTTCTCTAATATAGTGAGCATGTGGTCATAGAGCCATTGCTTCAGGGCCTCCAAAAGGGGGAAGAATCCACTTTGTCCAAGATGTAACATCCCATCTAATTTTTAGCAAGTTTTTCCTGATATCAAACCTAAACATGTAACTTCTACTCTTTGTTCCTATTTCTTTTCTCTACTGCTAAGCAAAGTCTAATCCCCCTTTCTTATCAAAACCCTTGAAATATTTGAAGACAGTGATTATGAGTTTTCTTTCTCTAAGTTAAATAATCACAGTTTCTTCAACTGATTTCTTTTACGGAATGAACTTGAAACCCTTCAACATTGAGTTCAAATCCCACCTGTGACACACCCTAGGTGACCTCAGGCAAATCACTCAATCTCCCAGGACCTGTTTGCTTATTTATAAGATGAAGGGATCTTTGGACTGTAGGCCCTGGGGTCTGTTTATAGCTATAGTTCTATCCAGGATCCTATGACCATCCTGGTTGCCCCCCACTGGACACTTCCACTTCTCCATGTCCTTCCTGAAATGTGGCTTCCAGGATCAACACAACATTGCAGATGTGCTCTGTACAACAGAGCTACATCCTCCTCGTTCCTGGAAGCCTGCACTCTCCTAATGGGACCCATCAATGATTTAATTTTCCTGGCTTTCTTGGAGAGTGGAACCCAGGAAGCTCCTCAGAAACTTCCTGCGGATTTATTCAGACGCAGTTTTAAACTTGCTGCTCTATGTAAGAGGGACAATGTAGGGTGATAGAAAGAACCCTGAGCTACATGTGCTGAGTCCCAGTTTGTCTCAGCAATACTACTAATTAGTTGCAGGACTCCAGGGCAAGTCATTTAACCCCTTCACCCAAATGTCCTCATTTATCAAATGAAGGAAGCTGTTCTAGACGATACTGAAGGTTCTTTCTAGCTCAAGAATTCTAGGACTGTTCCCTTCTGATAGCTTATGCCATTTGAGGATTTTGCCTCATCCGAGAAGCTACCTGGAAACAGTGTCTGCTGTCAGGTGAGGCACTGGAAAGAACAGTGGACTGAATGATTAGGAGTCTTCACCTCTTTTTCTCCTAAGCTCCTTATCTATAAAATAAAGAGTTTGGACCCAATATGCTGAGGCAGCATGGTGTAGGGAACAGAGAACAGGAACCAAGTAGGGAAGACCTGCTTCCAACACATCCTAGCTATGTGACCCTGGGCATATCACTTAACTTTTCTTAGCCTCAGTTTCTTCATGTGTAAGTTGGGATGGCAGCAGAATCAACTTTACCTTGCTAAGGATCACATGAGATAATGTATGTAAATGCTTAACAAACCTCAAAGTGCTATATAAATTTAGCTATTATTTTGAAAACGATCACAACAAATGCTCCCCAGTATTTGGATGGTGGTGGTATTTGTGTGGGCAGAAACTGAATATGGGATAAATGAACTTAGTTTCTATAATGGAGTGGAGTGGGGGAAGGGGACTGGTGTTGGGGGGGCTAGTTGTAAACTGAGCAGATTTTGCTCAGACTCTGAAAACGTGTCTGGATGGTTGCTGGTACAAAGTCTGAAACTAGTGAATGGAAGTGTTCCATTTTAAAGAAATGGAGATGGGAGTGGGGGGTGGGGTGGGGGTGGAGGAGGGGTGTGAATAAAACAGCCTTTAGTCCTAAGCCAAATTCCCCAGCAGGTTTCTGCCAAAGTGCCTTTTATTTTTGCTTCATTTTTAAGAGCTGAAAACAGTTAGGACTGGGGGCACCCGTTTCCCTGTGAGCTGCTCTGAAGTCATTAAGAAAGAAGCTGAGGTGGAAGGCACTCAGCCCTACCCTGGCATGGAGCCCTTGAGCCCCCCTCCCCCACTCCCTCTCATACACACACACACACACACACAGAGCAAACACCTCACATTGCTTTGGAGCTGGGCCATTCAGGCAGGGACAGAAAGATGGCTGCCAAGTGTGAAAGAGAGGTGGAAGAAACAGAAGAAAGGCAGAGAGATAAAAAAAAATACACCATCAAAAACCAAAACCAAAACCAAACCAATGAAAACAACCTTTCTTCCCTTCCCCTTCCCCTAAACAGCAGCAACAAAAATCCAGACTGGTGTCCAGGATCACATATTTGTCATAGAAAAAGAAGTGAATGCTTTTGGAAATATCATGTCTATGTCCACACTGTTTAAAAAAAAAAAATCTTTCCATTCACTTCTGTGAGACAAAAGTGTAAACTCCCATTCAGAAGAATACCCGGGGCATGCAGTCTGTGAGGCAGTATCAGGCAAAATAAGAAAACCTGAGTCCCTGACCCCAAACCTTGCCATGCCGAAGAATAGCACACACTGAGCATTTAAAGCTGTCAAGCTTGATTCACTTTTTCTGGGTCCAAAGTCTTATTTTCAGTGGTGTCTCTACTACAGATATTATTCTCTACAACCCCCCGCCCCACTATTCTTCACCCCAGTGTGGTCCTTCTTTTAGCTTATTGTCAATATAGGTCTTGTACCCACACTGTCTTCTGTGGCACTTGAGCTGACAAATCTAAACCAATGCCCCATTCACATGGGGAATCCTGCTGGAAAAACAAAACAAAACAAAACAGTTTGAGAGATCACTCAGTCCTACAGGGAACCAACTCAGGGGTGGCCAGGAGGGGCTGCTCAAGTGACTGCTCTGGGGAGCACTGAAGCCGATCCCAATGACAAAAGCCACTGTCAACAGCTCTGGCTCGGGCTTTTTAAAAAGAGAACACTGAACCAATCAAGTGGTGGAAGTCAGAGCAGGAAAACCCAGAATGAACTTGGAAACCTACCACGAAAAAGGGCAGAGGCTGAATTTCCTCCTTTGAAACCTACTGGCATGACCGTCCCTAATCTCCACTGAGCTCTTTGAGAGATGTCATTGAGAGCTTTCCTAAGCCACTGTTCAAAGTTACTAGAGTGAGTCAATGAGCCTGTCTGTCAGCAGAAAATGTCTGTGCAGAACTAGATTACTACAATGGCCCTGGAAATTATGTGGATTTGTTGTTGTTATTGTGTGGCTGGAATGGCCTCCATCCGTTCTTTAGGCTGGAAGACAGGGCACTTAAGCAAAGACACAGATTTAATCGGATCCTAGTAACAGTAAAGCCACTTTAAGCTAGGATTTTGTGAATGAATGATCTTCCCAGTGGGGGCTCTTTGCAGGTCAATCCCACCTGTGGCTCCCCTTCCATAGGAAGAAGGACCTTGCTTGGAGGCGTCAGGGCTGATAGCAGTGGAAGTGGTGGCCACTCCGCTGGGGAGGGGGAGGGGCCAGCAGGCTGCCAGACTCAGAAGGTACTGGGACCTACCTGAAAGTCTCTTGTAAGGCTTGTTGCTTTTGGTGCCATTTTGGTGTTTCTTGTCTACTGAGGGAGATACGATTCCTTTGCCATTCAATATCTTCTCTGGTGACGGTGGCACCGGCTTAGACATCAACACCGGTTTAACTAAAGGTGGGGTAGGCACGGCAGAGGAAGAGGTGGCAGAGGTCACAGGAGTAGTGGTTGTTGAATTCATTTTGACATTGGCACCGTCTGCCTTCACTAGGTTAGGAATTTTCTCTAAACTGACTATAGGAACAGGAACACTGCAAAACAAAGAAACAAACACAAATTCTTTCTTTGATGCATCATGTCCACTGAGGGGAGATGTTCACCCGACCCCACATGTCAGTTGCCAAGTCACTCCATGATCACTCATTTGTAATAACCCTGGTGATGTGGGCTGTAGGGAGTTGCTGGGAAGGGAGATTCATGACCAGAAATGGCATCAAAACTGACCTCTTCCTTCTCCCCCACCCACATCCTGCTCGATCACCAGGGGTCATTACACTGCGTCCTCCTCCCCCGTCTTTTTAAGTTGGTCTCATCTGTAAGATAGCACCTTTGGTGGGCACAATGTCCCTGCTGTGATGCTCAAGGAGAGATGCTGTTGGTTACCAAAGAAAATATGCCACTTGCAGAAACACTCTCCTCACTTGCTCTAGCATGCAGCTAAGACTCCCATCCTCATCCCGATCAGGCCTGACATCTGCTTAGCTCGGCAGTGCTGACAGGATCACACAACACGATGGGATGGCTTCAGGCCAGAGGACTGCACAACATGCTGTCTGAGGGCTTCTGGATTACTCTCATATCTGGGAACGGGCTAAAATTGAGTGAGCCGCTGTGTAATATTATCTAATATCCCATTTTAGTCAGTGAGTTATGTAAATGGGCAATTCTCAGAAGCTGGCAGCTTTCTTTCCATGATGAATTTTAAAAAGGCAGTACATGAAGGTGTACTTTCACTCCTTAGAATTAGCACTAGTCATAGCCATTTCTTCCATAACACTTGAGCACGGGAGTTTTTAAACGGGGTTAGTCATTCCTAGGGATCTATGAGGGGCTTGGCCCTAGGCTAGGTCCCTGAATGAGAAGGGTCAGGTTTCCTTTAAATCTCTGTACAGGCTCCAGGGGAATCTCTCCATTCTCCCCTCAAAACACAGGCTCCTTCTTTAGATCCCAGCTGATCTGTGAGCCAGAAGCTGAGCACGCAAGTCTACTTAGGAATATAACATGATGGACCATATATGATTAAGTCTTTTTGGTCCAGCAGCCACTAAAGGGGAATCTGAGAGGTGCCAGGCTCCATAATGCCTGTTTTGTTCGCTTGGGATGAACTCTTTGCATGGCAGATCGAATGCTAGACTTGGAGTCAAGAAGCTCTTGGTTCAAATCCCGCCTTCACACACTTAATAGTTGTGTGACCTCGGGCAACTCATTTAGCTTCTCTGAGACTTATTTTCCTCGTGTGTGAAATAGGATCATAACAGTCCTTACCTCACTGGATTGGTGTGAGGATCAAATGAAATAATGTAAAGCATTTTGTAAACATTAAAATGCTAAATAAATTTCAACTATCATCATCATCATCATCATCATCATCATCATTATTATTGTTACTACTCCTAGAAATGGCATAGAGTTAGGGAAGAATATTTTATGTCCATAGAGATAATGAGTTCCCCCTTCTCTAAATTTCATGAAATGTTTATTTGATTAACTTATTAATTTAATAAATTATTATGATAACTCTTTTGTCCCTAGCCTCCTTCCTTTTTCTAAATAGGAGCACAGATGCTGTTTACAGATTCTCAACATCTTGGAAGGCAAATATTGGACCTGACAAATCCACTGTGCTGGTCGGGAATCTGGAGTCTGCCCACTCCTGTATTCTTTCTAGAACGCTCTTCTCCTTATACTGAGAAAAAGTTATACAAGACTCTAGGTCTTTCAATGGGGACAAACAGGCTGGTAGTTTGGGGTAAGACATGAAACCATTACTATTTCAAGGATTTCCAGAGTAGGTAAAATGGTGTCTAAACTATTATAGACACAAGTGGACATCTGCTAATTTCTAAATTCTCATCTCAGAGCACTCAAATACATTGAAAGACCAAAACAACACCAAAAAGGAGAACCTACAAATCTTCTAATCTAAAAATAAATGAGAAAAATGAAAACCCCACATACACATAAACAAAACCCCAAACTTGTAACCTGTACCAGGGAATTTAGGATTATTAGGAACTCTTTTTCCTTTCTTTTCCTTCCTTCCTTCCTTCTTTCCTTCTGCATACCTGAGAGCTGATTAATGATAACCACTGATTTCATTCCTATTCCTTTATATAATATACTGCCTTTTATTTCTATTTAGTTCTATTGTCTGAGTGTGGATAAGATGCTATGTGGTACATCTAAGTCCTTGACCAAGAAGGTATCAGCATCTCTTCTAACTGCCCTTCTGTTTTCTTTGTCATTCATCTTTGGATAAAAAGGAAGGGAATTAGCATTGAGTAGCACCTACTAAATGCCAGGCACTATGCTAAATGCTTTACAATATCATTTCATTTGATCTTTGCAACAACTCTTTGAGGTAAGTGCTGTAAATGCTGGGGAACTGAGGCAAACAGGGTTAAGTGACCTGCCCAGGGTCTCATACCTAGTAAGTGTCTGAGGCTGGATTTAAATTCAGGTCTTCCTGACCCCAGACCCAGGCACTTTATCCACTGAGCCACCTAGCTGCCTTGAAGAAAGGTGTGGCATAGTGGAAAACACACTGGGGTTTTGAATCAACAGAATTAGATTCCTGGTTTTACCACTTATTAGAGCTATATGACCTTGGGCAAGTCACTCATCCAGGAGCCTGAGCTTCCTCACATGAAAAATAACACTAATAATCCTTGTTTTTACCGACCTTTTGGAGTCGTGAGGAAAGCCCTCTGTATGGAGGCAACAGAAATGTGAACACTTATAATGATAATGAGTCTATCTACCAAATAAAGTTCAGGAAAGGGAATTTAAACTTCTCTGTTCTAGTCTAATTTCTTGCTTGGAAACTTTGTGTGAGTCAAAGACCACAGGATTACAGATTTAGAGCCAAAAAAAGTGCTTACAAGCATCTAAATGCCATATTTAATAGATGAGAAAAGTGAGGCACAGGGAGGTTAAGTCACTTGTCTGAAGTCACAGAGGTAGTAAGGGGCAGAACTGGGATTTGAACTCAGGTCCTCTGACTCCAAAATCAGTTCTTTTCCCACTGCAGCTAGCTGCCTTCTGAGCCATCTAGGGACCTCCTTTACCTATTTGCAAAATAACCCGGCAAAGTGCTAGGTACATAGTAACTTCGAAACATTTTTACTTGAATAGAATAACCCAAGGATATTATAAGAATTGATGCAAATACAAAACAAAAATTAAGTGTTTAATGTAGCATGCTGTATTTTCCTCCCAAAGTGAATATCCAGCTAAGACCTGGCTTCCCCAAATCAGCCACAAAATTATAGATGTAGCCAGTTCAACTCTTTGGAAAAATGTCAATTGTTTCATCTCTTCAGAACTCTGTCTTCCCAATTATGTTTACTTATACTTTGACCAGGTTAGATAACATATCTATTACCTATCTCCTATTTTGAGCTTTCTGCCAATGGAGAGTGGAGTGCTTGTTACCTATTCTTAAGCTGCTAGTTAGTGTTCCTAGAAATCCTGCTGGGCCCTAATCACCCCCTGCCCTGAAAACCTCAATATATAGAGACTGATAGCAGAATCAGAATGAAGACACCCAACAGTAGAACTAATTCATAAGGAGCCTGAAAAATAGCAACATCCAATTCTTTCTAGCCTCAGTTTTATTTTGGAAGAGGGCAGAATTTGGAGAGAGTCTGGACAAACATCTATCAAAGAATTCCAAACATAACGTGGTCAGTGTGGGACATCTGCCTGGCAAAGTTCCATGATGCCAAGCTATGGAGTGGAACTTTGGGGGTGGTAGGAATGGTACACTTTCTCTGGGGTGCAATATTTAAGGGTCTAAGACATCTCATAGACCAAAGCTATGGTGCAGAGGAGATAGAACTTGGCAGCTGCTACTTTTGATTACTTACTTGGTCACTTTTTTCCTCCCTAGAAAAATACAGGGTAGCCCTCAAGGCCCTGGGAAAATGTCCAAATGTCCTTCTGAAGTAATATGATTCTCACTAGAGCCAAGTTGGAGACTCTGCTGGGAATCAACAGAAAAGAGAAACTGGCAACTATAATGGTTCTAGGGGAAGAGAACCAAGGAGCCAAAACACATCACCAGGAGAAATTAAGAGGAAGAGAGAGAAGTGAAAATCATACCTATGTGACCTTACCACCCTCATCCCACCCAGTATAAATGGCAGCCATGGGCTCATCCCAGTATTCAGTCTCCTTTCTTCACTGTTACTGGCAACAGTCTTGAATTCCTAAATCAGTGAACAGAGGAGGAAATGTATGCAAGATTGTACCATATACAATTTGGAAAATAAATCCCAGGGGTTCTCAACTTTTTTTTTTTTTAATAAGCAGAGCATGAAACTGACCCAACACTTGGACAGCACTTCCCCCTCCCTCGGTGTCACTCCCACTTTTTCATTTTATTTGCTTAGTTAGCATTTTCCTGTGCTCTTCTTCTAAGCTAAGGTAGGAGCTCTTAATGTGGGATGCTTGGAACCCCAATTTCTTGGGAGACTTCAGGGGATCTCTGTACTTGAATAGAAAACCCCCCAACAATTATTTCCAAAAAAGGGTCCATGGGCTTTACCAGACTGCTAAAGCAGTCCATGACACACAAGAAGTTTTAAGAATTTCTGCCCTATAGTAAGAAAGAATATGTGTGGCAAGCACCTCAGGAAAGTTTTCTTCTCTATCCCTGTCTTTCTTTTTTTGTTGTTGTTTTGTTTTTAGGCAACTGGGATTAAGTGACTTGCCCAGGGTCACACAGCTAGTAAGTGTCAAGTGTTTGGTCTGAGGTCGGATTTGAATTCAGGTCCTCCTGACTTCAGGGCCGGTGCTCTATCCACTGCACCATCTAGCTGCCCCTATCCCTGTCTTTCTTTCTGTCCATCACCCTCAGTTTCTTTGCCTTTGGACTATCTTCTCTATCTGTCTCTGTGTCTGCCCATCACCCTCAGTTTCCTTGCTCCAGCTCTTTTCCCAGGACACAATGGGTCTAAACAGGATTTACTTAGCAGTGCATTCTTCTGAGGAGTGTGGAATCCTGAAGGACAAGGTAAAGGTGTACCCA